ACGCGAGCAGTACACATTTAAATAAAACACTTTAACGGTTTAAAACGCGATATATTACTTAAACTTATTTGTAAATGATTTCTAACTTCGGCCCGACGTTAAAAACCCGTGACCACGCCTGCTGCAAAGCATCCAAAGCGTTAAAATATTTCCAAATAGGTTTAACTAACATATATCGCGTTTTAAGCAGTTTTATTTAATGAATTAAATGAACGAAAAGAAAGCGGGTTAAGTTTACGGTTTCTTTCTTATTCACCAATCAACTTTACAATTTCTATCGACTACAACGCGCGTTTGACAACCCTACCAAACGTTCCGCGACCGGTTATTTCGCCTTCAAGCAAAATAGATTTATGACAACGCGTAATGACTTTTCCGATTAATTGTAACCGAATTCCCTATTACTTAACGGGTTATCTATCGTTAAAATTGTTTGCGGTCAGAATTATTTTACGAGATAATATTATTCGAAATTTATCATGCCTCATACTGATAGCAGATAAGTGTGTAATTAGTATGCCTTGATAATGCTGTCAAGTTCAGAATGAAGTAAGGAATTTTTGTCGATCTTATTGTGTCTAAACATATTTTCAGTTAAAGCTTTAAAATTTGTGTTTACCCTAACTTGTGTAAATATTACATTGTCTCTTATCTATACTAATATTATAAATGCGAAAATAACTCTGTCTGTCTGTCCGGCTTTAACTAGGAAATTACTGCACTGATTTAAATAAAATTTGGTACATAGATATTTTAGAGCCTGGGAAAGGACAACGGCTACTTTTTAATGTAAAATAAGGGTTGATAGGGGTTGAAAAGGAGGATGAAAATTTGTATAGAAATTCGCGGTTTTTGAAGCTAGTACAATAAAACTTTCTTCTTTGGCTTTTTGGGAATAGGAGTGGGAGTGGGAGTAAGTATAAGAATGAGAGTGGGAATTAGAGTAGGAGTGATGTGAGGTGAGAGTGTTGCGGCAAAATAGCACAAACAACATATATTGGCTGCCTAAAACGCGCCCTTACATAATATTAATTTATATAATGGGCGCCTAACATAAGTCTAACAGCCTAAATAATTAAAAATTCCATCCCAAGTCGCGGGCACAGCTAGTAAGAAATATGTACTGAAGTATTTTTATAAATAAAACATTTTAAATAGTTTAAAACGCGAAATATTACACTGTTAACTCATAGTAAATAAGTATGTTTTTGACCCCGCGAAAAAGGCTACTGCAGACCATCCGAAACGTTGTGCCGTAGTAAAAATAAATTGTTAATAAGTTAACTAACATATTTAGTGTTATACACCGTTTTGAGTTTTATTTAAATTTGTTCTTGATAGCTTACATACAAAATAACAATAATTAAAAAAAATACCTAGACTATGGATAAAAAATTTTCAAAATGTTAACATAATTCAAAAAAGGAACAAGAAAAACTAAATAATACAATAACCCATACATACATATACCATAGTATCTTCAGAATCGCTTTAGACCTTTTATTTCTTTTTCTTTTCCATCTTCTCCTTAACTCATTTCGTCCTTATCTTAGAAATTGTAGATAATGTTAATAAATAATCTTAGTTGTGCCTCGTTGTGTCATCCAAAAGCGATACGTTATGAGTATATTTTTCAACCCACTAGCATTTAACCCATTTGTAAAGAAACTAAGCTTTACTAAGAGCACAATAGGGCACGTTGCCATCAATCAGTCATCTCAATAAATAATGTGGGAATGTGTGGCCGGGTTTTGTTCTTGCAGCTGCGTCGGCGCAGGCATAAATCATATTCGAAACTTTATAGATCAAGATAAGTTTTAATTATGGGAATTAGAATGGCATTTCGGTTGGTCTATTTCATGTTTATATGAAGACATCATATTCACAGAAAATATGACTTGAAATAGTGCCTTTTAAAGATAAAATAATACAACAACATTAATATGACATTATAAGTCAGTAGTACTCGTACTAATTAAACGTAAACATAAAAAAAATCTGTCACTTGAAAATATAAAATCACTTAAATTGGACACAGTCGGTATTCGAATCCAAGACCAATTTGGGTATTGTGCTCTACCAATTGAGCTTCCACATGACCGTTTGGATCGATTTTGGCCTTCCAAAAGGCTTTGGATATTCGGAAGTCTAGAGACTGACACCTAAACGCGATTAAACTTGACGGCTTTTTTATCTGTGGACGATGGTACGTGACTCGGACGGATATAGATAATATCCAGATTTCTAGACGAATTCAACATGTTTCAGAGGAATTATTGAATAGAAAAATGTTGGGCCCGGTGGGGATTGAAGTCACGGCCCCTAGATTACCATAACACCAACGAGCCCGTAATGTGTCAAGAAAATGATAGAGTGTGCTGCTCGAAAGGCAATGGTTGATACACTACCTTATGTGCATGGTTTACATATTGGATTAGGTAAATTATTTTAATTATTAAGTCAAACTTTTAAAACATATTTAGTATTGTATAGACTTATTATAGCTGTACTGTTAGCCTTATTATTATCATTTATTATTGTAAATCTCCATTTTCAAGGTTGCCTGTAAGAAATCGCTTTTTAGCGATAAGGCCGCCCTTTCTCGCTACATTTCGAATTTTTAAATTAAGTTTTAATATGTAACATTGTGGTGACAATAAAGTATTTTTTGTTTGTTTGTTCGTTTGCGTGTGTGTGTGTTTTTTTATCAGATCGTAATATAAAGGAACTATTAAATGCAGATTCAAAAATAATTTATGTGCTCGATTCTCCATATTAATATTCCTTCACTCGTAAAGCCTATTAATTAATTAGTTGTTGTGTAGGTGTTGACATTATAACTTACATTAATCATTCTATATAGGGTAAGATCACGTTGGCTTTACTATACACTAATTTAAGTTACCATAAAGTTCCTCCTGCCCTAATGTGGCAATATCCAGCATATTATAGGGTTTAATCTAGTAATTTACTAATATATGGTACTCGGTGCACCGATGTTGGTCATAAGATAGATTTTAAAACTTCTGATTTTCCCACGGGTATAACAAGCCCTTGCTAATAGTGATATATCCAATGTTATCGATACTATAAAAATACTAATATTATAAAGCTGGAGAGTATGTTCATTTGTTTTAATGCGCTAATCCCAGGAACTATAGATTTAAATTGAAAAATATTTTTTGTTAGTTGGAACATTTATCGACGAAAGCTTTGGTCTTTAAAACATCAGACTGCACCCAATAGGAGCGAAAACGGGGGAAATCATTCACCTTTGTGAGCTTTCGTTGCGTGCGTTGCGAAAAAGGTTCAAAGAAGGTTTGTAAATATTAGTTTTAATGCACAAAATAACTATTTCACGAGGACGAAGTCGCGGGGAGAGCTGGTACATAAAAAAGGAACTTATACAGACCGTACTAACTAATAAAGATAGGGGCGTAGACAACACTAAGGAACTCAAAATTCTCATTTTTCATATGGGTAGAATCAAGAATGGGTCCTATTCGATTCAATGCATTTATAACATGACCGAAAATAGATTAAACAAATTATTCGTGCTTAAGCTTGTGCCGAAAAGATTCGGCGTCTCGTAGCCAAAAATTAAATAAATAACGTATTTCGCTTTGTAAATAGATTAAATTTCTAACTTTAGTATCCATTTACGTGTTATTATTGTTTAATATATCACGAACTATAATGAATCGATATTCTTTATACCTATGTAAAAAATTATCGATATTTGCCCATCACTAGGAGCTACCGTCGCGTTGGGAACGTGACCGCCCGCGACAAACGGCGCGCGTGACGATTTTGAACGCAACCCGATACATCGGCGATACACCGGTCTCATATTATTTCATACAGTTTTATCCTTTATTAAAATTAAAGAAGGTCGTCTTTTCAACGGCAAAAATACAGATATTTAAAATGAGCTTTGCGAAAAATCTAAAACTAATTCGGCCAAATAGATTTCAAGTAAAACAAAAAACAATCAGCTTTAGTAAAGCTTACTGACTGTTTTCATTATATCGTATTTGTAATTGATTTTAACTTTTTAATAGAAGAAAAAAAAGATAGAGCATTATGCAACCTTAGTAAATAAAGTAACTAAATTTTGAAATACCAACGAAATTTATATATGTATTAGATTTATTCCTATCTCTAACCAATTTACGACCAGTTAAACATGCTTAACGTCACAATTCGGTAAAAAAAACTTATTCAATAAAACATATTCAACAATAAAAACTATATCTGCGCATGCGCATAACTAAGCGATTCTGATAGACACAAAAAGAGAGCCCATTGAAAGCTTGCGTCACCGATATGTCAGCGGCCTATGACCCCGCTGACACATTAAGTTAGTTAAGTTACGACGGCCGAAGCGCGTACGTCGAGGATCGATCAGAGGCTAACAAGCCGATAATTGACAGAACGGCCGATACTTAGCTTGCGACACAAATTAGTGCACAAAGATACCGATCTGGAGGTTGACGCTCCTAATGCTGTGTTATCTTCTGTTTGGGAGCCAATTAGCTTCTTACCGACAGTCACCGTGGCTCAGTTGTTAAGGTTAAGCGCGAAAGAACCTAAGTTCGAATTTCGGCAATACAAATTGTATCGTTTGAAAACTTTATTATTTTTTACATGATATTGCACATGTCTCAGTAGCTCAATTGGTAGAGCAACAGCACGGAATGCTGACGATGCCAGTTCAAGTCCTGCCCGAGTCGAAAATTTTTTCAATTTATTTTCGATTTTTTTTTAAACAAATTGTAGCTATAATTTTCGCGAATCATACTTATAATAAAACTTATTTCAATTGCATAAAACGTAATTATAGTTTAAGTGAACGAATTTAGGTACTGATAATAAATTCAATGTCAATTATTGGATTTATTTTTGTTGACTGCTATAAAGATAGCTGAAGCGGTGTATCGCCGATATAAATTTGCCCATTGTATGTATATATGTCTGTTTATATTCTTTTTCAAACTTACCTTATGTTTCAAGAAAGACAAATCCCGCACAGAGACCGTCCTTCTGCTAACTTTAAGTTCAGTTTGGAGTACTTCCATGGTACTTATATCTTGGAAGCCATGTTGCTCGAGTGTTTCGCAAGTTCTTTGGACTTGTTCTATGCACGGCGAGAAGGAACAGAAGCGGCCACCTACAAAGAAAATAATTTGTATGTATGTATATATGTATATCTTTTCTAGATAGAAGCACTAATGATCATGTGGCACGTGGCACAATGGTCGTACCCTGTCTGAACTCTAAAGACAATCATTGTTTGCAATAGTAGAAATATTTTAGATGGCAATTGGTAGGACTAACTAATAAATCGAAATGAAAACGAATAAAAAAAATCTACGAACCGCGTAAAATATTTTTTATACGAAAAGAAGACAATTAAATAAAACACTTTAACGGTTTAAAACGCGATATATTAGTTAAACTTACTTGAAAATTATTTTTAACTTCGGCCCGACGTTTCGGATGTTTGGGCAGCCGTGGTCGGGGGGGGGTTTTAAACCATTAAAGTGTTTTATTTAAATGTGTACTACTCGCGCAAACTATAGACAGTATTTAAGCAAAGACAAGTTAAAGCTTGCCAAAAGATGTAATAAATATTATAATAAATACTGGTGGAATTCAAATCTACAGTCAACGGGACCCGTCAAAAACAAATATGAAATAAACAATCAGAAGAAGCTGTAATACAAGAAACGGTAATACATGCGTCACAGGAAACCGTCCGCGTCTATACAAATCAAAATTGTAAAGGACGACAGTTGTAAGCTTAGTACCTTTTGAGCACGTCAATATCGCTTTTTATTCCGATACCGTTTTAGGACTTTAGGCATCTTTAATGTGCCGCTGGTGCTTATCTGTCAAATCTTATCGACCAATAAGGACAGCGGACGTCACTCACTCTGCCAATCCGAGGCGCAAGCGCAGCGCCACGGGGGGTGATTCACAAAATAATATTTTTAAATGTGTATTGCGTGATTCTTTTCTAACAACTGATAACTGTCGTCTTTGTTTTAGATGAGTAACATATACATTATTACTATGTATGTAATTGATTAATAAATTAAATTAATATGTTATTTTTTTCAAATGTCTTTCAAACTTAACTGGGAAAATAATTATGCACTTCTTTTCATAAATTTCTACCGTTTTTATCTGCTAGATTAAACCAATGTAAATAAAACACAAACCAGTTGTTTAAAATGAGAAATATTTACATCGACGCCCTCGATCTTCTGTCCCCCCCTGTGACCACAGCTGCTACAAAGCCTTATCACACAAAACGTCAGGCCGTAGTTAAAATAAGTTTAAGTTCTACGTTTTAACCGTTTTAAACCGTTTTAAAAAATCTGAACTACTCGCGTAAACTACAGACAGTATTTTATTAAACAAATCTGAATAAAAGATGGCATTATATCTTTACGACATTTCTCTTGTTTTTTCCATTTTTTGTTTCAGGTAATTTATGAAGTAATCTACTAAATACTGTCATAGTTTACCCAGTAGTATACGTTCAAATACAAGAATTTAATTTCTAAGTGTTTTATTAGACTAAGTTGCTCTCATAAATTTTCTAGGTCTAAAATCTACATCCATCCAGAACATTATTTATGTATAAAATAATTATTTTGATATAAAGGCTATAAATTATCTTAATGCATCACAAGTCACGTTACTGTGGCATTTAGGCGTTGTTAGTGCTTAAGGACATTTCATTGTTTAATTAAAATTAAACAGCGATTTTAATTAGATAGTCAGTCGAGGTGCAGTTAGAAGTAATTTCGATAGAACAATGACTAATTGCCCTACTGTAAAGGAAAATCTTGAGCTATGCAAATCTAAAACATTGCGATTTATATACCTGTTTGAAATCGGTTTGTAATAAATTCCTCATGTGAACAAGTTGAGGGCTTCAGTTTGAGTTAACATAATAACTACAACAAACTAACAGGAAAAAAGTGAAGTGCTAAACACACAATATTTTACGATACATTGATAATTAGGACACTTTAATTTGATTGATATTAAGTAAAAGTGTTATTTACATGTTATCCCACATATATTATACCTGCTCACACGCACGTTATTTCTATATAACCTTGTCTTCGTGTATAATTTCTATCATTACGAAATATAAAACAATACAAATTGTGGCGCATGACTTTTAAAACTTATCACAAGTACCATACCCTTTTAATTAAATTCTGATGGATCAAAGGTATGTGCAAATAAGATAAATGCAAATATATACGTTTGGGTAGAGCAGCAGCACGAATTGCTGTGGATGCCGTCCGTTCAAGTCCCCTCCATGTCATCGATTATTTTCAGTGTAAATAGATTTAATAAAGAAAATATTATATAGCTGAGTGCAAATATAAAAACGCACAAGATTTTTATATTCTGTAATATCAAAAAATATCAGAAGGACTTTGATGCTATTTCGTTAGAATATTAAGTATAACTTTATCAAAGTTAAGCAACCCTATTGTATTGTACGAAAGCGTTTACTTAGGGTTGAACATTATGACATAAAATAAAGTAATTATCACAGTTAAATATTATTTCTGAAGGCAAGACTGAGTTTTTTTTAAAGGCTGTTTTTATTTTATTATCACTGTAGTTATGTTATTGATTTATGGAGTTTTTTATAAATATTAAATGATATTATTATAAAGTGAAACGACTCTATTTCAATTCAGAAGTGGAATAAAAATGCAGATTCGTCAGAGCAGTGGGTACGTGGTATAACAGATACTTTCTTGATACTCATTTTAAATTCTATTTTACGAATACATGATAAATTCTACACGACTGACATTGACTGAATGTTACTTGAATTACAATTTGGCAACCCTAACACCTTTAGCTTCGTACCTCTTAATGCATAAATTCAGCTCGAAGGTGCATAAAATAGGAAAGGGTTAACAATAGCCATCCTTCGGTCGTGGTTGCGAGACCGGGTCACGAGACAGGAATGCCGGCTAATTGACAGATTAGTGGGGACATCAGCGCCTTTGAGATATGTGTGCCAACACGACAAAATGTTCTGTTCGACGCTGGAATTAATTTGTTTATTTACACATTTCGAGTGTAATATGTTTATTGTTAAGCGTATTACATGGATATTGTAAGCTTCAGTTGTTTAGTAGGTTTGAAGAAATCTATACAATATTGGTATAGATTTCTTCTTTCTAAAGCTGGAGAGATTGTTTTAACACGCTAATCTCAGGAACTGGTTCGAAATGAACAAGTCAACAGAACAATTATTTTATTATTAGTTAGACTATTCATAAAGGAAGCTTTTAGGCTATAAACACCAGACTTCAACTAATAGGAGCGAAGCAACAGGGGGACAAAAACGGGGAAAATTATTCATCTTTGAGGGCTTCAGTTGCGAGCGCTTCGAAAACCGATTCAAGAAACTTTAAATTATCTAAAATATGTCCGCGGCAGTATATGTATATCTTTTGAGATTATAACATATAAATTAAAAAAGACGTCACAGTAAAAGATTTGCTTTTTGTTCGGTAAGGTATTACGGTAACTTAGAAAATTCCCAGATTCACACAGCACTCGTAAGCTTTCAAAATAACTCATAAATTTCAAAAGAAAACCTTTAATTAATAATAAATTACTCCTAACGCACTTCCAAATATAGTGACACCTCGGCTAACGTAATCCATATCTATCACATTCAATACAGTATGAGGTAATCCGGTCCGAATAGTCCAAGGTAAATAGAAGTTAAGGCAACAATACAATGTGTAACGATCGCGAATCTAGTTTCAATGCGATAGTAATCAAAGGTCAATGTTCTCGTTGCGATCCTGGATACATTTTGTAACACTTAGATGTTACGTTACAAGGGCTTTGTATCCTAAATGCCCGCTACAAGCATTACGTAGTGATGTGAACATGTCAAAAACTTATCGACAACTAACAGTCGCTGAAACCAAAACTTGCCATCACGAGACGCAAATACATCAATAGTTAGATAATTATCATCTTATTTAAAATTATATAGGAAGCTTTGAAGTTTGCTGTAGATAGGTAAAAGCTTTTTAATTTTGTTGCAATTATTTCAAAGCTTATATACTGAAAATTGGCGCTGCATATCACAGTGTGTTTCAGTAAAAGCTGAGTGGTTTATTCTTTTTCCAGTCTACTTTATATGTATGTACCGTCTTTGACTTACCATCTATCGTAATTGCTATATTTTAGTATGAATTATTGTACTGTTTTCATTACCTTTTAGCAGGACAAACTATGAAATACTTAAAACGTACCTACATACTCATAATTACAGACTACATTTAAAGTGAAAGTTTTTCATCGACTATACACCGGTACAGCACTAACGCACAAATCACAATAGATCCGAGTCCCGTCACTAACAATGCTGGACAGCCTATTGATGTATAGCACGAGATAAGGTGGTGAAATCACATGTGCCCGTCACCGGAGACTTTTATGTACAGTAGGGAAACTTTTTAACTAGTGTTTGTATTTGAATGGAGACATTACTGAAATAATATGATTTTATTTATCTCAACACCAAAGCCTCTTTTATTTTGTACTATATATTTTATAGGGGTAGTAAAAATATTATAAAATTCATATATATATATATATATATATTTATATATATACATAATTTATATTTACAGACACTACATATTTTTCTATCGCATTAGAATAACAAGTTCTGTAAAAAAATAATCCTGCTACCTATCTGTGTATAATTTCCGAAGTTACATGATAATATTATTTTTTTAAACGATACACATTATAGTAAACACAATCCCAACGGGTAATTTTCTACTGTGCCGCGACTTAAGCAAGGCGGCGCGTGCGTATTGTTCTGGCCGATGAGTAGATTGGAAAATAATTATCTCGAACGTCTCTTTAGTATGTATTTGTTAATCCATTACGTGTGATTACTTATCTGGGCCTGGTATTTTTAATCATGAATGACGTTTGGACGTCCAACTCTCCACTACGCGACGATAAGCCTGAATTAATAGATACTTTAATGGGACTTAATTTAGCCGACATGAAAAGTTCTTGTCAAGTTTTGCTGGTATTTTCATTCAATTTTTTTTTAATAAGCAATACCTGTGTATATATTGTCACAAA